TAACCAAGTGATGGTTACGCCTTATATGCTCCTATTACAGTATGTCTACCATCTGTCATTGCTTTATCTATTTGATTTCCATTCCTTTAGTTCAGATTAATCCATATATGTTACTTTCCTTTTTGATTTTTCTACAACCCTTAAAGTGCTTATTGTGGGGAGGAGTTAAGTGCACATAGGTAATGAAAACTACTGGACTGCCAGGGCGCTTAGCTCCAGAGTGGGCTGTGGACAGGAAAAAAGAATGGCTTAAAAAATAGCTTAAAGTTTTACTAAACCCAAGACCCTGCATTCAGTATATCTGGTCTCCCACAGTACACAGAACATGGAAATGCAATTATTTTAGTAAATATAAACTGCAAAAAAACTTTTTTCATCAGCAGTTAGAACAGTTGTGTGACTTCTATCAGTGTCCAGAAACCCATTGGTTATAGCTTATAGGAGGAGTTTTTGTTCTCTCCTGATTGTCCTATGAGTCTGCATGATCACTGACCCTCTGTTTGGACAATGCTGATTGGCCCTGTGCTGATCACATGCACTCTCCCAAGAAATTAAAAAAAAAAACTCTCTAGCAATACACACCAAACTGAGCATGTGCAGCTTGCCCGAAAGGCTCTGTTCTAACAGGAGATGGATTGCGAACAGTAGAAGAAGGGGAGGATCAATGAAGACAGGATCAAACACCTTTTTTACACAATGCAGAGGATTCTACAGTGAGTATAACAAGCATGCTTTACTGCATATACAGACTGATTTTACTGCTGTTGGTTTAGTAACACTTCAAGTCAACAGTAGTTTAAAGCAAAAGGAATTTTAAACAGTAGGAGTTTAAAGCCAATAAGCAATATTTTCCATTCTTTCTTCCTTTTTTTCCATTTTTTTTAAAAACAATCTGTGTATGTAATGCAACTTCGAAAATGAGCAATAGAAATATTAAAGACTTTGTAAGCACAAATAGAGCAGAAGTTCGAGGGTGAATACCTCTGCAGCAGATGAAATCAGATAGTCACTCTTGAAGCTTAGGGCTTGTTCATATCAGCATGTTTCTGTAATGTGCGGTTAAATGCAGTATGTTGGTTGGTATTGGTGGATTGCCAGTGCCATTCTAAATGGCACCCCAATTGACCTTCAGAACGCCTCCGCATTTCAACTCAGTTTAGCGCACCACAACACAAAATGTGCATTAAGGTGCACTATAAGTTAAAAAAAAATTGATCCTGCAGTGTCCTCCCCACAGCCCATTTCACCGGCTGCCCTGTGTTCTTGGGGCTGGCATCTTCAGTGTGACAGCTTGCGGCTTCACAGCTGGGTTCTCACTGCACATGCGCGAGTAGCACTGTGCTTTTTGAATGGCCCTGTAGTCTTCTGTGTCCCAGAGGACTACGGTGAGAGGGGGAGGACAACTTCCGCTTCCGAATGCCTAGGCGATCGCAGCAGAAGTGGGAGCGGGATTACCTGTCAATTTTGGGTACCTTCTCCCCAAAGGTGCCAATCCTTAACAGGGAGCAGGTGACCAGTCCTTTCAGCGGAACTTCCTCTTTGGGGTGCAGCTCCACTTTAAGATGATTAGGAAAGAAGCTTGGTTACCGTAGCTAGAAAGTGTTGCATGGGGACTCAGGAAAAGTAAGGATTGGTCTGTGTTTAGATACCCAAACAAAGTTGAGTGAAGGTTTGTGGATGGCAAAACTAGATGTTACAACCCTGAATGTTACTGCTACCCCTAGAGCCAGAGGAGCAGCCCATCTAATGGAGATGGTGATAATAGGGCATTCTAGCAGAAAGATTGTTAGAATAATCTGTCACCAGAATCACTTCAACTAAATGGTTTGCAGTTTGACTGGTGCCAAAGTTTTTGGTATGTGGTAGATTAGGTAGACAAATTGTTGGGAGGGGCTGTGTGTATGACTCGGCTTTGGTGGTACATGTTGGGATCATTGACCGAATAAATGGAAGGTCCTTTAAGATCCTTAAAAACCAACTAAGGAGAGAAGGACATCCAAGGATATATTTTCTAGAAATTTGCCTGTGTCATACATGGGCCATCTTAGTCCATTCACACCAGATGATGGTGGTTGATTAATGCATGCCAGCGCAGATATATAGTAAAAGCAATGTGTTTCGATAAGAGCAGTTCACATCAGTGTGTTGTACTGTTGTGCGCTGCCCTGCGCTTAAAAAAGTAGAACAGGGCCTACTTTTTTCAGTGCAACATGATGCAAAGCGTGCATGTAGGTACATCGCAATACACATAAATGCAAGAGTCAAACAGTCAACTGAAGTCTCCTTTACAAAAAAAGCCTATTGAAGTTTAAAAAAAAGCATAGCACAATACAGCACAAGGGAAAATGCAACACAGCATGCCAACGCACACATCTCACTGTGAAAAGCCCTTAAAATGTAAAGAGAATTACAGTTTGATCCATATATATTTGGACACAGGCACAATTTTAGTTTTTTCAGGTATTTATCAAAACATATTCAAGCTATAGATTTTTTGGTCCAAATATATATGGACCTAACTGTATATTTCAGTGGAATGGTTTGTATATTGCTTCTTGTCCTTTCATTGCATTCCAGTCGCCCTCTGTTATTTTCACAGAATTAAAGTTTTGCTATATCATTTCTAATTTCTCATTTAAAATGTCCTCTCTTCTTATATACTTATTCTTTCACTAAAAGGTTTGAAGTCAATAATTGATGGCTTATAATTCTAACGTATTATAAATCCTCAAAGGCTCCACTTTACAATATTATGTTTTTTCCTATTTTCATTACTCCCCCTTCCCTTCCATTTAGTTTCTCTGTAGAGCTTTGTAGATCTTTTTTATATATTTCTGAATACTAACATCCTTCACTCTCCACCCTCCAGACCAGGGGCGGACTGACAACTCATGGGGCCCCCGGGCAATAGGGGATCATGGGGCCCCTGTGTCCTTGCCCAAACTCAAAAAAGCCTATGAAAAAGGTACCAGGGGCATCTCATGGGGCCCCCTACTGACCCTGGGCCCTCGGGCAGTGCCCGAGTTTCCAATTGGTCAGTTCGCCCCTGCTCCAGACTAAGTACTGTATATGTCATGTGCTGAGCAATATATCATAATCAAGAGTCATTGTTCTGTCTGACTTTTTCCATGTGCTGGTTTTTAGATAATGTTGTTTTTTTCTGGGATAGGCTTGTTAGTTCTTAATAAAGGGGACGAGTTTTATCATTTCAGGGTGTGTTCCTCTAGGAGAGGTTGGTTTCTCCGTTAAAGGGTACTGCTCCCTTGGTTTCCTTTCAATGCCGGTTCACATTGCTGCGAATTCTATGCAGATCAGATGCATTTAGAAAAGCATAGATTTGCATGTAATGCAAAAAGCATTATTTCCAATGAGGCCTGTTCACATTTATGTGGTGCAAATTTGATCTGGTCCAAAAAAGGGTCCTGTGCAAGCTTAGTGCAGGTGTGGTGCAATTTCATCCCCTACTATGCCCAGTCCCCTCAGAAGTCGCATTTAATTTGTACCTGTCACAGCAGAAATCGCACTATGACACCGCACTGTGAAAACACATCAGATTTGCACCGTATCAGTGAGAAACGGCACTTAGCCTGGGTTCTCATATATGCGGTATGTAGCAATCTTGCACACAGAGATGGATGCAAACCTCCATTTTGGCAAAGGCCTCCATCTTCTATCATTCTCTACTCCCAAATCAGCTTTCCTCATCCCCCCTCCCTCTCTGTTGAGTGACATTTGGTCTGTTTGATGCAGAGTTCAAAAGGCATCAAGGCCCAGCGGGAGAGCTCATGGTCATAAACCCCAATTAGCCTGGCCCCCATATGTCTGGGAGACTCTTGCTGGAAAGGGATTGTAAAGCCATAAACCAAGCCCTCACTGAGCTTCAAAGACATTCCAGCTAGCTGTGAAACAGACTTACATTTAAAAACCCAGTTTTCCATATAATTTTATATCTCCAAATAGGAAATAATTACATAAACAGGGAGCACACATATGGGATGGTTCACTTTAATACAAGGCACCTGATAGGTTACACCCCTAGCTAACAGCTATAGGAGAGCAGAAAATGATATCTCCTCAACCATCCCAGCAGGTATGTCATATTTCATACCTAGACGTTCAGCCTCTGATTCGGCGTATTAATCTACTTGTGGATAGAATGTTATATGTATCCAGGGAAAGTTATTGCCCTGATATCAACTTGAGAGGGATTTTGGTCCTAGCTGGGGTCTCCACCTACACCTCCCTCCCCAAATGAAGCGATTGGTTCTCTGCTTCAAGGAGACACCCTGCTGAGTTCCTAGAAAAAGGCTGTTATGCTTGGAGTTAGGCTAAGCTGAGTTGAGCTAAGTTGAAGATTCTCCCTTTTAACATTGGAACTAACTTAGGGAGATAAGGCCCTTTTGGCTCAGGAAACTTGATATGCTAAACCAAGGCTGACAGCAAGTACTTTATCTCTCTAAACTTCTTTCTGTTATTTCTTTGCTGTGTTATTGCTCTCTGTATATTTATATATATATATATATATTGGCTACATCTTTTTTCTGTAAATATTTTTATTTCACCCTTTTGACCTTTTAGTAATAAATCTTACTTTTTGAAAGTGTTGAACTGTTTCTAAAGCTCTTTAATGCAAACTAAGAACCCCTGTCTCTGAAGAGCACTACTGTGTGTGTTTAAACCTCTGTATATCCTGCCTGTGGTGACAGTGGTATACAGACGATTATTCAACATCATAGTGTTATTGCCAAGTATCCTCTTTCTCTGTACAAAAAGGAGGTGGTGGCAGTGTGAAGGATTAATTGCGTAATTAACCTGACCCAGTAACAACCGCTCCCAGGCTGCAAGTACACAGATTGTGGTCCATTAGCTGGAAAATCTTTGTGCAGGGTGTAGCTGGGCGTGGCATTGTTACGCACGTGACAGCGCGGTTTTAGATTGGCTAGTCCTTCGGTCACGAGTTTTGTGAGAAGGGCTGGGGTCTGACGCCGCGACCGTTACACGGTATATCTCATGTGATTCGCACAGAAACCACACCGTGTTCCTGTGCAAATCACATGCGATTTGTGTGCAGTGCGATTGGAGACATACATTTTGTATGGCTCAAATCGCACCGCACCCGCACCAAAAAGGTGCAGGACCCTTTTTTGGGTCCTCACTAGAATCGGATCGCATGGGTGTTCACACCTATGCGATCAGATTCTGCACATCGAACCATATTTTGCGGACTGCTTTTGAGGTGTTGTTAACTTAACATACACACCCGCCTCTTTTCGCATGAATGGGGTGCGATTCTGATTCGGTGCAGAATTCACACAGAAAACGCTACAAATTCCGCACCGCATCAGTGTGAACCAGGGCTTAATGTTTTCATCATTTGCTTTTCATGATTCGTTTCTTAACCTGAATGTAGCATGGTACGCACTCATTTAAATAAAGCCATCTATAGGCTCCTTTGGTTTTAATAAGAGACATGACAATAGATTCCCTATATACAATATCTGATATCATCAGTGATACACTAAGCAGGGAAGCAAAGATAAGGGTTGCATTTCCATGCATTTTACCTTTAAAATGGAAGCTGATAGTTACATTAACCCTTTTGATGCCAGACAGCAGGTTTTTTTTTCGTACACAATCCAGTGGCTGCAGCCACCGGGATTGTGTATAAATCTGACAGGCAGACTCCTGCTGGAAGCAATCAGGTGGCTCCGCTGGCGCTGCTTCACTTCCGCAGCCCCCACTTCCGGTGCAACCCCAAGCGCCCCCCCCCCCCCCCCCATGAATGCGCTCCCACCATGTAACTGGGCTCAGCTTGCCCATCTGCAGGCTCAGGGAGAGCCATGGTGGGTGGAGGGGAGAGAGGAGAGCAGACGAGCTCCCCACCCCTTCTTTGTGTGACCCGGAAGGCGATATCTATGACGTCACTTCCGGGTCACTGCTGTCACTTTCCTGGCTAGAATCGCCGAGGAAAGAAGTATTGCAATGTGGTTCACATTGCAATACATCTAATGCAGGGGTGTCAAACTGGCAGCCCTCCAGCTGTTGCGAAACTACAAGTCCCATCATGCCTCTGCCTTTGGGAGTCATGCTTGTAACTGTCAATCTTGCAATGCCTCATGGGACTTGTAGTTTGGCAACAACTGGAGGGCCACCAGTTTGACACCCGTGATCTAATGGATCACAGAGGAGACATGCAGGGTCTTTCAACCCTGCATGTCTCAAAAAAGAGGACCTGTCACCAAAAAAATATCACATAGGGACTGTGATATGATAAAGAAAAAAAAGTTAAGTAAAAAAAAAAAATTTTTATTTGTAAAAAAAAAATAAAGTTACACCCGAGCATATAATATCTCCCCCCCACATAGACACACGAAAATGTCGGTTGCGATACATGTTACATATGGTCACGCACACAAGAATGAGGGCAATAATTCTAGCACCAGACCTTCTCCACTAAACTGATGACCAATAGGGGCTTTTGAAATGTTGCCTATAGAAAATATAGGGTACTGAAGTTTGTCACTATTTCATAGGTGCACACAAAATGTAAGGTTTGGCATGTTGGATATCTATTTACTCAGCGCAACCTCATCTATTATATTTTATCAAAAATGTGGGTTCTTTATTGTGTTTGCTTGCCCTAAAATTCCATTTAGTGTGATTTCTACTGAAATTTTGCATTTCCTAGGCCATTGCAATAACATCTTGTGACATAAAAAAATGGAACTACCACTATTGTATTCCCTAGGGTGTATCTTTTCAAAAAATATATAATGTTTGGGGTTTCTGTAATCTTCAGGCCTAAAATTATTATAAAAAACAAAAAGCAAAAACTGCTCTGGCAGCAAAAGGGTTAAAGTGTATATAACCATCTCTTATAGTTTGTTAAATGTACCACTGAACGTATTTTGTTCTGTCTGTTCGATAATGGAAATAAGGGACCTGTGGATCCTGCCATAAATCTAGTAAGCTTACAACTTCCTTTGATCTCTTTCTGTTTCCTTTAGAACATTAGCAGTGTACTGATTGATATAATTTATTGCCTGCAGTTGCAGATTCATTCTGAGATGTGCCACTATAATCTGACAAACCAACTAGATGAAATGGCTGGATTTATAAGTCTTGCCTTCTTAGGCCAACTCACTAACCCTCCACCCAACCTGAACTTATTTTATTAACAGGATCAAGATTAACAAGATCAGACTTCTTAGTGACACAAGCCACACTGAGGCTGGGGCAAGACTGAAAATGACAATCTGCCTGTTCTGCATTGGAACATTTTGATCTGACATGAAGAGAGTTGGTAGTCTTTGTCTTTACCCTTCCAGCAGTATGACCTTAGGATGGTGAACTCTAAGTACACAGAAAACCACCCCAACATTAAATGCATTGTGCAGGAACATCAACAACTAGAACCTCAACTAGAACCTAGGCAGATTGCTGTAGCAGGCAGGGTGGCAGTCTGGACATAAAATGTATGGGAACTGGTTTGCTGCTCTTGGAAACCCTCGCACAATAAGTCATGGCCTTTGTTGGCCATACAGAAATCCAGCACTTGTAAAAGTCTTCGACATACCCATTAAAGGAAAATGATGGGAATTGTGCTTAACTCAAAGGGAATATGGGCTTGGAGAAACTCTCCTTTACTCATGTTCATCAAAGAATAGTTGCTTGTGTGCACATCAGTTGATTTTATTTCCATAGCCACCATATAGGCCATTAAGTGAAAGCTGGTTATTCTTCAGATTTTGGTGAGTAAAAAAGGTTAAATGTACACCTATCTAATAACCTTACCCAGGCTTTATTTGACAATTACCAAGGTCTTTTGAAAACATAAAGAACATTGGATTCTGAGTTTACTGAAGTCTTGAGAGTGTGGAGCCGTTTTTCAATACTGCCAGACACAGCCTGTAACAGTGCAAATAATACAATTATTTTGTGCCAAGTAACAGAGGAGCTTTGTGCCCAGGATCACTGGGCCTGTATCCAGAGAGCAGGAAAACCTGTGTGCCAGAGAGACAAGAACTTGTGTGCCAGAGCAAAACAAAGAGAGGCTTATGTGTACAATATACCGTATCTACAGTCGTGATAAAAGTATTCAAAACTTTTGGAATTTTCTGGAATTGCTCCTAAAAATGTCACCTGATCATCTCTTAAATTAAATGATTAAAGACAAATTTGTGCATATATCTTTATTAGCCAACATCAAACAAATCATATTTATATTGGCATATCTTTATCCAAAATAGTAGCAGAAAATGTAGCATTCTGGGAATTCATTGTTCTAAAAGAAATAGTAGGCTAGACGCAGGATCATGCACTGACCATGCACTCAGTCCTTGACTATCAGTTGTGTCTGTACCTGTTCTTTTGTTATCTTGTCATGTATGTCCAGTATCTGGCAGATTTGCTATCACTAAATTTAGACTTTTCTAAAGAGAAGATCCTGCCTATGTCCCATCATGTTTCTGACTTTGGTTTCTCTAGCCCCAAGGAAATACCAAACCTTAAGCTTTTAAACAGCAGACCCTACTGGTCACTCCATTAGTAAAGGTCAAGATGAGGACCAGAAGGATTACTGGAGCAGAAAATTCATCTGAGCGGATGCTTTGTGTGCGGCGGAAGTTGGGCTCTAAATTGTGCAATTAAAAACTGTAGAAAGGAAAAAAAAAACAATTTTCTTTTCTTGTTTTATTCTACATTGGTAACAATATGCTATATTAAATATTTCCCGGGTTTATGAAAAAAAGGTTGTGTTAGGCTAACTACACATTTTCAGTGAATGAAGCAGGGGACACAAAAGCATGACACCACAATTTAACTGAACCTTGGTTTAATTATGATATATACCAGAACAGGAAATCTGAAAATTAGTATTTTGACTGACACTTTATGATGTCGCAAATGGCAAAATAAAAACATTAAAGTGGAAACCAAAGCAAATTTGTTTGTATTTGTACACTTGCAGTGGCTAAATGGTTAGCACTTCTGCCAGGCAGGACCAGGGTTGTTGGTTTGAATCCCAACCATGGCACCACCTCCCTGGAGTTCTGCCTGCGTGAGTTTCCTCCGAGTACTCCAGTTTCCTCCCACACTTCAAAGACATGCTGGTAGGTTAATTGGATCCTGTCTAAATTGGCCCTAGTGTGTGTATGTATGAATGTAAGTTAGAGACTTTAGCTCGTATGCCCCTTGAGGGTTAGAGACTGATGTAAATGTACAATATATATGTAAAGCGCTGCATAAATTGAAATTGCTATAAGTACCTATAAGAATAATTTGTTACAATAAATTGTCATGCCTTACTTTCCACATTATTATTCTGCAGCCAGCATTTCCTGACATATCAGGCAATACTTTCTAAGGCTGTATGGTGTAACCATAATAAAATAGAGCAAATTGGACACTCATGGTGGAAGTAGGCTAAGGTGTTTTTGAAGATGTCAGGATCATGTAACATCAGTGGGAGTAGTTAATGTACACACAATATAGTTGTAAAGGACCCCAGACACCCACGACTAGGTATCTCTGTCAAGAAGCTGCTTCTCAGGCTCTGGAACATGAGACCAGTGAATCTGGCTATTGCTACTCCAAGATCCAGACGACACCAGATTTGAAGTAAGCCAGAAGGTAGACTAGTTTATTTGAACACAGATACAAGATATATACACTCAAGGGACAGCCCCCCTCCCTGCATAATGACAACACAGGGTGGAGCAATCTACATTTAGTAACAAAAGATACACAGGTATTCAAATTTCACACCAGCAGACAGTCCCATCAGGAGGGAGGGCTGCTGGAGACACCCCCCACTAAGCTAATACACATAAACACATACATCCCATAATAGTTTGCTCCTAAGCAAGACAAACAATAGAACAATGGGATGCAGCCACATAAAACCAAACAATCAACCAACCCCACCCCACCTATCTCCTAGACATGTCTACACAATATTAGGACAGATCACCCTGTACCCCTAACAGGCACAGGGTGTCTTACATATAAGAGGGATATGGGGAGCTGAGACAGGGGTCTCTCCACCTCTTCAAAGTGAGCTGGGTTCCATGAGCCCCCCACCCATAGTGACTCCCGTCACAATAGTAAAGGAACCACTAGAGCCCATGTAATTGTGGTTTTGGTAATATTCTTGGTTAGCTTGCTTAACTTGAGCATAGTACTGCCTAAGGGTAAACCAAACCAAATCTGATCTCCAAGCAAGACATACAGTTTAACTTTGTGAATGTAGGGTAGAATGTAATAACTCCTTGTGTGATGTGTCGTGATTAATTAATTTTACAAATTTAGTGATCTCTCCTCCTAGGCTGCAGATCTGCAGGTAGAAAATTAGAATGGAGAAATTA